TTTTCTCCTGGAAGCTTTGCTGGTTCGAGTAAAATGCCAGATGGTGGGGCTGCAGCTCCATCATTTCGTAACGCATTCTTTTTTTCTGATACTCTTGACTTTGTGAACCTATTGGATGGAGCCCATGGTCGCCTTTATTTTCCTAGTCGATCTCTATGCAATGGTATCTATGATGTCAGAATACGTGACGAGCTAATTTTATCTCCCATTGAAAAATTGAATTATTATTGAAAAGAAGGAAAACGGTTACCACGAAGCAAATTTGCTCCATGAGAAATCCCTTAAAACTATGGTGGCGGTTCGAAAACCTTTTAGGTTTGCCCCCCCCCCCCTCCCTCAGCGACTCTAGTTTGGCGTGGCTGCTCCCCTCTCATAATAGACCGAGAGGGACCGAGAGCGTCTCTCTTTCTTCAATCGCTTCTTGTTTCTTTGGCGGGCGATGGGACTCGATCGGAGCAGAGCGTCCTCCTCGGGTCTGGTGGGGACAATGGGTCCAGTGGGGACAATGGGTCCATTGCATCAAACTGACTATAGCCTGATGGAACTATTCCTAGAATTAATGTTTAATATAAGGAAACCAGCGCGAAATGAGATGCACGTTTCTCTCCCGCCGATCATTGGCGTGGCCACATTTCTACCTCTGGGTGACTTTATGTCCCTCTAGCTGCCTCGTATCCTTTAAGTATTAATCCATAACTCCGTAATGTAGTGGTTGGGAACCGAAATTCACGGACAATGGGAGGGGGGGGGGGTTGGGGTGGCGTACAGCAAGATGTATTGGGTTTGCAGGCCAACATCTATCATGTGTCATTAAAAGGAAAATGTTAATGAACGTCCGAAGTGAAATATGCAATCGAGCGTTTATTCTCAGACCATAATGTGAGATATCAAGAGATCGATGACGACAATGACACCTATGGCCCCAATATTTCTGGCATGAGGGAAACTGTGAGAAACCCGTTTGAGTTATCCATTCAGTTTTTTTGTCTGTCATTCAGTTCCCTAAGAAATCCCTAAAACCTCGATGAGCAGTTGCGACTTCTATCGAGGGAAGTGAAATTACAGTAGTTTCTCTATGGGACAGTTCCAAGCTTTACCCGTCGGTGAGCGTAAATTTGGCATAGTACTTAGTTTACCAAATTTAAAAATTAATTTCGGGATTCTCGCTATCATGTATCGTACAGTATCGTTGAATATCACTTAGAGCCTCTTGCCCAAAGGGTAGAATCTTTCCAATCCGAGGACGGGGATCTCGGATATTTCGTGACGAACATGAGAATCTCTCAGTTGCATGCCCCAAAAGCCTTCGCATTGGTGAATGGGATCGCATTTAAAAATACTAGAGAGAATTTCGCTCACATTCAGAAACAATTTCAGTTCTGAGATATCTCTGTGACTTACTCAATAAAATTCATCTTGCAAATAAATCCAGCGACTTTCTCGCTCGAATCTTCACGAACTGTCTGCATGAACCTGCTCCCCTAAACTCGAGTCTTCAACCTCGCGAGGTTGAAGACATAATATTCACGAGAAAGACGTTTCACACGATGGATAGCGCATCAAATAAAATGTAAAATCAAGAAAGATGAACCTAGAAAAACGCTGGGAAAAAAAAGCAATAAGGTAGAAGCCCCCACCCAATCGATTATTGAATATACCTTCTCTGCTGTCACATTCATGAATCTCTCCCTGTTCGTATTTCGTGAACGCAGCGTTGACGAAATAGGAACAAGGAGAGATTCACCTTGCAGGATGATTCTGCCATCTGGTGGGTCCCTATGGAAATTGGCTTTCTGGTAGGAAACACATAGCAGAGAATACGTCAGAGGAAGGAAACGCGGTTCACGTGTTAAGATTGTGAGGATGGTCTGTGCGTACTTCCATGCATAGAGATTTCAACTTCGAAAAAATTCTCTGAATGTGGGGCATGAATATAAAGAAATTGGAAAGTCAAAATATTCAGTATTAATTATTGAGCTCATTTCCTAAATGAGACTATTTCCCTAGAAATAAATAGAGTAATTTATTCTTAAAATACTCCAGAGGTTCTCCGCGACCAATCTCTCCGTCTTATGCGAACATGCTGTAAAAAGTCACGCACTGTCTGAGCGTCGCTTGTAATATGTTTCATCACTCGTTCCTCAGTAATCCAGAGTGTTCCCTTACGGAAATGTCCTCTAGGAAACCTATAGGTATTTCTTATAGGAAACCGATAGACTTTACTATAAGTTTTTGAAACACGAGAAACCTATAGGATCCTATAGGATCCCTACAGGGTCTTAAAGGACTCCTGACCTATAGGATTCGGGGAGAATTTTTTGGGTTTCGAAACCCAGGCATTACGACGGAAAAGGCGACCGGGGTTAATGTTGGCGCGGCATTTTGGTGCAAATCATATACTGATTAGGGGCTTTCCCATGGTCGGGACACTTTCATTATTATTACCAGTACCGCCCAGGTCTGTTTAATTTATGGCCATTAATGGCTTAATGAAAGCTGGCCAGCGATCTTGGGATTTCGGAGCGGAGCGTTTGTAAAATGCTCAAGAATGTTATCCTGCTTCGGTTGTACAAGTTGATCATCGCCCTTACGAAAATGTCCCATAGGATTACTATATATTCCTTTAGGAACATAAAGGAACCCTATAGTTTCCTATAGGCTCCATAGGGTTCAGTTAGGAACCTAAGTGGTTCCCTATAGAACCTATAGAGTTCCCTATAGAATCTATAGGGTTCCCCATAGGGCCTATAGGGTTCCCTATAGGACCCAAGGGGTTCGGTATAGGACCTATTGGGTTCCCTCTAAAACCTATAGGGCTCCCTATAGGACATATAGGATTCTCTATAGGGCCTATAGGGTTCCGTTTGAAGTTCTTCTCTAGGCCACTAGATGGAGGTATTGGGTTCTCGCATTTCTCAAAGGACACAAAAGTGCCCTCCCCTTACCCATAGAATATTCTCTCACAAGAAAGTTTTGTACATCTCCAAATGTCTCGCCTTGCCTCATTGTTGCAATCAATAAACTTCGATACTTCCGTATTTGTCATCCCCATCTTTTAGATAGAATCATGGAGTCCAGGCAAAACATATGCCAATATTCCCTTTGGAAACCACGTACTAGAATAATTACACTTTATCCGAAAGAAGTTTTAGTAAAGTGACGTTCGCGCAGTTTATGTCTTCTGTTTCTTTAGGTCGAGAGGAGAATGGCATTTCTCTCTACCGAAGGAAGTGGGCGCTCAATCCAGCGACATATCTGGGCCGGGGACATATACGAGTATTATGTAGACCCGGGCAATACTGGTTTTAATAATGCAAGTGTCCCTACCATGGGAAAACCCTTAATCGGTACTTGATTTACACCAAAATGCTGCGCCAATATTAAACCCGGTCGCCTTTACCGTCGTAATGCCTGGGTTTCGAAACCCAAAAAATCCTCCCTGAATCCCATAGGTCAGGAGTCCTATAAGACCCTATAGGGATCCTATAGGATCCTATAGGTTTCTCGTGTTTCAAAAACTTATAGTAAAGTCTATCGGTTTCCTGCTATCCGTGCTGAAACCGATGAAAAGGGTGGCATCGAGCAGAAGCGGAAATTAACTCTGATGTTCGTTTTCGGGCTCGATGTCTGATTCATTAGTGCGGTATTGTTGGCAATCTTTGAGAAAGGATCCGTGGATCACGATGAATACTTGCTTGAAGTGCTTCCGGTGGCCCTGAAATGCGGCAAGGAGGCCATTGGCGACGATTAGAACTTTCAACAAGATCATGCGAGGCAGTATACTCATTGCTTGTCCAAACAATGAAGAGACAGTTTCCCCTCTTTTATCGACAAGGAATATTGGCCACCTAACAGTCCTGATTTGAACCCCTTGAACTACTCGATCTTTGACGAACTGATCTATATCATCAAGTGGGATTATGTGACATTGAAACAAACAACGTTGTCTCTGGTGGACAATCTGAAATGGGTGGTTAAGCGGATTCCGACGAAAGTCGCGTTAGAAAGTGGTTAATAAAGGGCTGATCGCTTAAATTGTGTGTTAAGAGAAAGTGATCATTTCCTTGATCAAAATCGCTTGGTTTGTAAAGTATTGAACAGAGAATCTTTGGAAAAATGCATATATAAATAATAATGTTTATAATCAAAGCGATGAAATATGGACGATATGTTAACGGAATACAAACACAATACACTTTCTTCTGCCTCATCCATGTGAACACTGAAATGGCTTGAACGCATATCTCCTCTCCTTGGAAAATCTTAAACGCTTGTCATCATCGAACTCTCCAGCATATCTCGAGTTTCCCTCTAACATAATCTCTCACGAGCTTGTAAACATAGGTTCTCCATTGGTCTGTCACTATTGAGCTCCGGAACGCCTGGCACCCTGGTGAGAAATCTTTCCTACTCATCTCCCTATGGAATGACCATGGTTGTGCAGCAGAATTCTGAATAGTGCTGACCAGGCTTCATGTTTTTCTCGGCCAGGTTGTCGATCCCCAGGGTCTCGCTACGGCTTTGAAATGGGGGCAGACTGCTTCCTATTTCAAGGTCTTGTCCTCAAGTAACTGACGGCGGAAGAACTCACGAGTTAACTCTTAAGCGTTGGTTGATGCATATATCATACAAGTCAGCCTATGTTAAGGCGGTTAAGGAACAAGTATATTAACATGAGTCTGATTAAATCAGTCGCGTATAAAGACTTCCCCCCAAATTTTATCTGCAGGTTTCTGGCACGTATTGCATTTGTATATACTATCAATTCCAATAACTATTTTATAAATAAAGGGGAGGGTTCATGACATTCTCCATCGCATCAACTCAAGATTAATTTTTCCCTTCGAAGGGGTTGCCAGTCTAACCGATTTTCAAATCCAGTTTACTTAATTTTAAAGTAGCCTTGAATATGTGGGGGAATTCCATGTCTGGGATGCAACGAGGGGGGAAGATTGGGAGGTGCGGCAATGAATCCGATGCCATTTTCACCAATAATCCTCATGGGTGGATCAGAAAGCTCCATCCTTGTAGTCAGAATGATACATTGCCGATCGAAATGTGACACAAATCGTTATTGTAAGTCATGTACAGCAGATGGATAATGTTGCGACAAGGTCATAACAGAAAGTAACCTTTTAAATCAAACACTATGATAGGGTTACTGGGACTAGAACACTAAACATATGCAAGAATGAGATTCCTTTACCATTATCCCTGATATCTTTATTCATCACCTTGACAAAGATACCTGTATAGGGAATATACAGTATATTGTTTAATGTACATCGCGGTGTCCATTACTGACGCTATTCGTGTTTGGGAAAACGGGACACAGATGCGAATTCCATGTCCTTCCCGGTTCATTCTCTTCCATGATGAGTAGTTCACCGATTTTCAACTAGGGGAAGAAGGAGAGGGAAAAGTTTTTTTTTAATAGCACTTTTCGCTTTAATATCTTCGTATAGCAAAGTGAAATTTCGAAAATTTGAAAATATTATATATATATTTTTAAACAGACTACTTTTCACTTTCCCCTCAGCCTAGACAATAAGTTTTACGAATTCAGATGAAAAAAGTGTAGCGGGATGAAACCATATTATATGTATTTTTCTCTTCAATGCAAGACTGGGGCATTTCTGGATCTTTCTCTAGAAGTATCAACACAATACCAAATAAAAGCACTCGTTTAGCCTCATGATTCCGATTTTTTTCCATGGAGCGTTCGTTTCCATTGACGATCTCTGGCGATCCCAGTCGCGACGACGCTGTTAGAAATATTAACCTTTAATAATTTCTCTCAAAGACTATCCGCATCTTGCTGTTGCGATTTGCATGCCCGATTAGGTCAGCTTAGATCTGGCTTCGATGGCTTCGATCTGGCTTTCTCATACGTACCTCCCAAGGATATTGAAAACAGGTTGTTGCATTGTTTTATTCGAGAGAAAGCCATATTTCATCAGTTTTTGGGCACAGAAACAGCCTCATTCCCATGTGGCACAGCAACGTTGAATTGACGTTGAATATGAGTGTATTTATCGACCTGGAAACGTTGAGTAAACGTTGAGAGTATACGTGGACTCGACGTGGAAATGGGAATATCATCTACGTAGAATATACGTAGATTTGTCAACGTTGAGTAAATGTTGAGAATATACCTAGATTCCACGTGGAAATGGGAATATGTTCTACGTGGATAAAACGTAGAATTGTCAACGTTTTTCCTCTGTAGCTTTTGAAGTGACTCCTTCCCTTGTAGAAATTCGCAAGTAATACATTCCAACCAAAAAATTATCAAATACAAGAGATTTATTCCATTGGCCATTTACACAATTACTCCTCATATTATTTCCAGAATGTCAACATGAACCACAATCAAAGAAACCACATTATCCCCTTAGAGCAGGATTCATTAGAGGATCACTCTGTTCCACTAGTTCCAGCTCCTCACATTCATATTCTCTAAACATCAGTCACTATGAACTGCAAAACTAAGAAAGCAGGGTTAGTTAATAATAACATCCTGAAATCCAGAGATTTATATTCAGATGAGGGAATATTGAATGTGATATGCACAATATAGGAAAGTGTACAGCTGATACACTTCTATTATGAGCTTATTGAGAATCTGTCAAGGAATCCAGAGAGTCTTTCTGGATTACTTAAATAGATAATGGAGAGCTGCAAGGATTCACTTTTAACTTCACTTTGCCCATTCAGCTCTTCAGATTATAACTTTTGCACCTCAATATCAAGAGCAAAAACTGAAATAATCTAATGCTTTATGAGTCAGCCAATAATTCCTATATACTAGACTATCCATAAGTAAGTGCTAGTTCCTTTCCCTTGAAAAATTGCATTTAAAATATAACAGACAAATCATGCAAAAATTCAAACATGCTGGGTCTTTTTAGAGTAGCAACACAATTTTTAGAATTAAAACACTATTCTTCTCAGGGAGTTGCATGACTACCCTACAAGTATTACACAAGACACTCCCACAGTGACTCCACAGAAATTTACTCCAGGATCAATAAAATATGGCGATCTTATTCACAGGAAAATGAAGCATGTCCTAAAGTGGGAAACTAACCAAAAACCCCTTGAAGGATGGAATTGGAATTAAAGACTACTTCAAGTATCTCAAGCCCAATGGATCATTAAATATCAGAGTAGCCTGGACATACATTACATATCATAACATATCAGTTAAACTTTCTAAGATAGAGATCACAGAAACATTTAGGCCTGCAATTTTGTATTACATCTTCTCACATCTAAAGAGAGATGACAGAATACAGGTTTCAAAAAGGCCTAGAAAAAAGAGAGGTGTACCAAAAAATATATGCCTGCTTGTGGAGTCTGGACAATATTCAACTCAAATGGCCCATCTTACTGCCTCTTATTCTACATTAGATTTACTTCCTATGTTTTACTAAAATGGGTATTTGAACTTAATACCAGAGCAACTGAATGGGTCTGATGAAAAGCTATTAACCCCTTAAAACTTAAGGGAAGTAGTTATAAATTTACTTGCGCTAGACATTCAGCATGCATTTTCTATGAAGGCAGCATACTGGCTGAACATGTCATTAAGTAACTTACACCGATCAATGTAATTGCTTTGATACTCATAGTTCCTGAAGTCTCATAAGAAGCAATAGGCCTATCTAAAGTGAAAATAGTTGGGTTATTGCACAAGTCTGTCAGCTGGGATACACATAATCCAACTAATAATACCAACGGGTCCATAAATGGATTAGAGGCCTCTTTATGTTAAAATGTAGGTAGGATTGGGTTTGGTCTTGAGGACATGTGAAATGTGCCTAAAATGGATTATGGGTCGAGACCTATCCACAACGAAAGTGATTGGTTCTACAAGGACACATGCATGTCTACCCTTGATGTCTCTACTGTGGAGACTTAGCCCTAAAGTGGACAGTTTCCCAAGGATTTCGCCTTATTCAGCACAGAGTAGGCTAGTGCAACGAAATGGAGAGAGAGCTAGGGACATATTATATAGACCGGCATCACGGAAGTTGAAGCCACCGCCACGAGCGTAGAGGCCAGTACGGCATACTGTACATCACTGCCATCTACGTTTCCACCTAAAATCCACATCAAATCGACGTATTTATGCCACACGTTTACCCCTCCCATCTACCTTTCCACCAACTATCTACGTTTCTACCTAAAATCCACGCCGAATCGACGTATCTGTGCCACACGGGTTGTCCTCATTAAATTTGGTGACTAATCATTCATTGGTGGCTGTAGCCCAGTTCTCGAGGTGTTATGATTCTTCATTTCAGTTTTCATATACACTTTTCATATGCAATGAAGAAAATGCCAATTCTTAATTTCAATTATTTTATTCATGGTGTAACAAAACATCCTTTTGGATGGGTTCTATTTCCCGGTATCTGGAATCTAGCCTGCAGTTCGGTTGTAGGCTAACGTTCTATTCAGATAGAAAGGGGTGCGCCTACATAGAGAGATTGAGAACAGCTACGTTAAACGATCTTCTGCGTCAAAATTCCAAAGTCAGACTCGACTGGAGAATCCCAACCGGTGTTGTTGAGGGTAGCTGGAGACTCGCATCCCTGGTGATTGCCAGTGGCAACGTGCCCGGCAGTCTCGTAAATTCCGTTTCTTGTCGCAGCAGAAACACGTCGTCCCTGGATCATAGTCAGCATGCCCATTGACGGTTGTAAGGCACGCATAGCAGCACGTCCGAACAGTTTCAGTTGATTTTATGTTGCTCCAACAAACCTTGTAGCCCATCAGGTGCAGTTATTCCACCGTCAGAGAAATCCGTGAATCGAAGTGATACATTTCGTTCTATTCCGCCTTTCGTTTAGTTTTTTCAAGAGGTAAGGGAATAAACTGGAATTTCGATTCATATCAATCTCGTGGCTGATGTGAATCGTGACGTCTACGTCATTAGACATAGACTGACTTAAAGGGTGAGATTCGCACGGGAGTTCGTTGTATGTCATGCTGTAGGAGTATCGAGAAGAGTCATTGGTGCCTTATGACATAAACTGGCCCACCTGAAAATGGAAGGGCAGAAAGCGTAATTATAGCATGGTTGCGTCACCACAAGTTTCACATTCTGCTCCAGTTCCCAAAAGCAGGAATATCACTATGCTAAAGTGCAAATAAACTTACCCACAAACATATGTTCGAATATCAAATGCGATTGATTTCGGATATGGAGCTAAGTAGAAAGCTTAGCGAAGAAATGCTTGTAGTCTGCACAAATACTATACTGTACATATTTGAGGGGGACTGAGATGAGATCAATGATGAATGTGGTCCTAGATTATCGCTCGGAATGAAAAATATCTAGCCACTTGACGCAGACACTTCACAGTGATCGTGACAGGTGAAGCCGATCGATTCCACTTCTCGTAGACCTGAACTTCGAAGTCCGTCTAGGGGGCTTGGGAACGCTCCACATTGCGTTCATAAGGTGAAGGGAAACGAAAATACAAGATATCTGAAGGAAAAATGAAGACCTCCGGTGGCTCACTCATCTCCCTGTTCTGCATAGTCAGTGAGTCTGTGAAACCTTCTGGTCCAGCATATGCAAATGTCCAACCTGGAATCTATTCTCCATCCAGAGATTATCGCTTTTCCGTCACATCAGTGGTTGCCACTAGTGTTAGAAAGTTTTTCAATGCAAAGATATTCTTGCCTCAAATATTTTACTTGTGCCTTGCAGTCTTGCAGATGTCACGGGACAGAATAATTTCGGCGAGTGAAGTTGTTTTTGGAGCTCCAGCTCGGTCTACTTGTATAGATGACATCTATACAGAAAATCTGACAGACCCAGCAGGTTACATAGTCCCTTGCACCGATGAAGCAGGACAAGTACCCCGATTCCAGGTATGTTGGCAATAGAGTTCGCAGTCTCACTTTCTCAAGAAAAGACGGAATTCCCCACTGGTTGATGTAATAAGCAGTAACACAACCAATATCGTTCAAATGCAATATCAATCCTTCCTTTTTGCCTCGTTGTAAAAGTAGTAGAAAAGTCTTTGATTCCCTGAACCTTATATGATCACCTCAAGAATCATTTGTTTTCTATAACAGTCTGTGAACAATAAAATGTTTTCATTGAACAAATAGAACATGAAAATTTCACAAGAAAATCTCTGGCAAGATCCTGTAAACTGGCGCGGCCATTGAGAATGTAACGAATAAGAATCTGACACCATGAATAATGAACGAGAAATTATATCGCGGTGTTCCCCACAGTATGGAAATCATCGTGATTGTATTCGTTATTGCAATTGTTTTATTTTTCGGCAGAACGGAACAGATACATATCTCTTTAAATTTTCAGAGAGTCCTATGGAACGTATTCCCTGATGTGGAAGCGGAAAGCATCGACTTCGTAATCGAACCAGGGACATTTACCTTCCCCGAAGACGATGCTCGGGTGCAAATAGGAACGGGGAACAAAGACGAGTTCGAAAATGGAGCAACTCCTCAGGGACTAGAAGAGGAATTCTCCGGTCCAGTCAACCAAACCGTCACTGTCACCATAAACGGGAGGGAAGCCTGGGTTCAACTCATTGTCTTCAAAGCTATAAATTTATTCTCTTTCGTATATCAAATTCCTGTATCGAGTGAGTTTCCTCCTTCACGAGTTCCGCAAAAAATTATTTGTGCAGTAAGGGAAATTGACAGACTTTGGTAATAATCTTTAATAGCTCTAGAAGATGGCTAGGAAGACGGATGATATCTGCACTCTCTGCTCGTCAAATAACGAAAAGCAGAATGTTTACTTGTGTGCCCATTTACCCACAGCTGAAAATAGCTGTGAGTAAAACTAAATTTCTACACACAATATCCCTGGTAGCACATAACATTGAAACAACATGGATTCAATGTTGATCAACATCCAGATGTTAAATCAACATTGAGTCAATATTGAAGGAATGTTGATTCAATGTTATTTGCTACAAGGGATATCATGAGGTTATGATAGGGAACTTCCAGCCGGACGCAGCTTTGGTAAGAAAAAGAGTATGCTACTGGCACTACATTGCTCATCGTAAGTCATTGAACCACTTTTAAAAATTACTGGTTTGGTGTCATTTCATTCCTCGGCAATATTAAATAGGGTTCGTCATTTCTTTTGGGAAAAAGAGTTAATGGAAGACGAAGCATAGGAGTACATCATTCCAGTTTGTGATGCGAGATGCATGGATGTCTGGCTCCTGCCAAACATCCATGCATCTCATTCATGGCCTTGTTTTGTGAATGAAAAATTAAGATGCTGATATTTCAGTGATTGTCAGTTTGCCCATTACAGGATGCATTCCTAGTTCCCAACATTTTAAGATTTTCCTGAAAAAAAAAGCTTTAAAAAACATGTACGGGAGCATCCATGGTCCTGAAAGATTTGCTGTTTTTTTTTTCTAACAAGGTCGAGCTTCCAAGCTCTCTGTGTTGAGTTTAAATGTGGTAATGGAATATGTCCAGTTTCAGCCATCCAACCAATTTCAGAGATACTTGTATATTTCGAGCGGGCGTCCTTAGCAACACCTAAAAATCTAATTCTTTGTCAAATCTAAGCAATTTGAAAAAGTTAGGTGCGGTTTAGGTTTGGTTAGGTTTGCCCATTTTTTGGCCTGAAGCCGGCTTTGATGAGACGAACATTAATGTAATCGGTTTCACTAGTGACCATGAAATGTATACTTTTCTTCTAAATGTGAAGGGGTTTAAAAAGCTAGTTTATGCTAGATTCGATAGATTTTCTATTTTCAAATGGTACTTCCAATAAAAGCCTTCCATACTCTAACAACTTAGAAAGAACATCATTTGGGAATAATCACTGAACTTTAGCTGGGAATTGAAAATAAAAATTTTCTAAGCAGTATATTTCGTGATGTAAGAGTTAGTGGTTATTAAATACTTTTTAAGATTTTTGCAAATACGATTAACTTGCACTTATATTGTGAAGTTTTCTTGGTAGTCTGCATTTCCCTTCCTTGAAAACTTGTTGTAATTATGTGTTCCGATGAAAAATTCATGCAAAATAATGTAATCGTAACCTACCCAAATCTAACCTAACCAACCTTCTTCATACCCTTCTGATTGGAAAAAAAGTGGTATTTTATTACTCTGCTAATGACACCCTTTCAAATGATATATGAATCATTGAATTAGGTTTAATGACCAAAATTACTTCATATTGGGCATACTCCTTTAATAGCCAGAATTCGTATTCATCATATTGGGACTTCGGATGAAATAGATTTCCCAACGGGAGTTAAAATTCGAAAAATCAGAGTTAGCAGATGTACAAGGATTCCAGATCTGGTTCGAAAAATGAGATTAATGTTATTTCACATTTTTCAACACCGCCCTCCACCACCTCAAGTACGACGATGGAGACGACTACGATGGAGACTACGACGACGACGACGGGGACTACCACGACGACCGGGAATGACATGACAACAGAATCATCAAGCATCTCTCTCTCCACAGGATCCACCACACCCGACGCAGGTGAATGCATTTTTTGCATAACTTAATGCTATCACAAGAGACATCGCGTTCGTCACAATAGTGGATTTAGCGGAGAATGCTATGAAGGGCGTGGAAGAGGCGATTGCGTTGGAACTGGTCGTCATTTGAGAGGGGTCAGTGGAGATGGAGGTGGTGGGAAAAGCTTCGGCTCGAGTGGAGGAGACGGCAAATATGTTAGGAGAGTCTACCTTGATGGTGAAGGAGACTTTGGTTCGAATGGAGGAGGCTCGGGCTATGTTGGAGGAGATGGAGTTCATGTTGGAAGTGTCTACGTTGATGGTGGAGGTGGCTTCGGTTCGAGTGGAGACGGCGACGCTTCGGGTGGAGCAGACGGCGGTGGTGGTGAAGGAGACGGCGAAAGAAGATGGAATTGAAACCATTCTCAGAATTCGTTGCTTCTGACTGGGAATTTTCTCGGTCTGGCCGATCTAGTCATCTGGCTCTAATTATGTTTGGCCTAGATAGTCACTGGACTCAATTTCCTTTATTGTTCTGCATTCTACTACACATGGTGGACAAGCATCATACTAAAAGGGTATAACCTTTTCCCATCCGAGTATCTCCCTTATTAATAAAGAACTATGAAAATAAAACGCAGGAACCCCTCATCGAACTGCACAATATTGATATTGTTTTTGTGACTGAAACCTGGCAGCGAACAGGTGTCTCTCAGTGACTTGGGCCTTCAATCGGATCATGTCATGCACTGCTCGTCGAAAAAAAAAAGATATATTATTTTTTATCTTTTGATAGTAGCTTGCATAATTACTTGCTAATTGAATGATGGCCAAATCATTTCAATTTATGATTTAGGTTCGATGAAATTCTAAATAACCAAATTTCTTCAGTTTCGACATATTTTAATAATATTTAGCAGCAGGTTTCTTCGAATGCTACCGAAGATACAAAAATATCCACTTCGTGCAGGGCGTTTTAGAAAGGACCGAAATGGGAAATCTGCTGGAGTCATTCTGATAAGCTTGCAGGACCGGTTTGCGAACGGCCGAAACTCACACGGCCGGGAGATTCAAGCCGCCTTTTTCTTTTGTCGCTCTCCGTGGTTGGATGCTGCGAGTCGCACAACGCTCCCTCGGGTGTCTGACGACTGTGATTGCATCGAGCCGGCTCGTGACTCGAAACTTGAAGACGACTGGTGCGTGTGTGAAGCGTCTTCGTCTCCGTGAAGCATCCGTCAAGCATCCACAACTTTCGGGTAAAAATGAATTCTGTCGCCGCACTGTCGCTGCAAGCACCCCAGATATCGTGTTATGCTCGTCAGATTATACGATTCTCTCTCTCCAAGTTTTCCTTGGGCTCGCAGCCCATCCGAGGCGAGGTTCTCTCCAAAGCAACTTTGAAATCGAAAGGAAAGGACTGCTTACAGCCACGCAAGTGGAAATTTTGGATGACGTCAAATCCCCGGGCAGAAACGACAAGAAGGGATAGATATTTTTCCTCACTGAAGAAACTTTGATGAAACACCACGCGGGATGAGACGCCCGAGGATCTCAGTTGAGAATCGCATCGAGAAAATCCCGAAGCGACAACTCACCGTTCGTGGCCGAGTCGAGCAAACGCGACGCGCGTTTGATCGGCCGGAAAGGGCTCCAAGCCCGACAGGCTTCCCTGTTTTTTTTTTTTTTAATAGTTGAACGAACCTCCAACCCTTTTCCTCGCCTAGTTTCCTTCGAATCCGAGGGAGGATGATTCTACTGCTATTACAAATTTACATAGTACTCTTCCTGTTGTAGCTGAATCTTTTGGATTCTTGAGAAGCTCTTCTGCTCATGGAATAGACGAAATTCCTATGCTTTGTGCCTTCGAACTCCGTCCTTAAAAATCTCTGAAGCCGCTCACTCTCGGCATCTCGGCACTCCAACTTGAAACAATTAAGAACCTCATTAGGAAATGGCCGTTCCAATCGGAATACCCGGTTACCGATGGGATTAACCCCTTAATTCTTAGGGGAATTGCTGAGGCCGAGAGGTGGATGAAGCGGCGGTCTCGAGCTTGTGCTTCCATGTATGCGACGAATGCGTCGGACGAGTTAGTGAGAGAAATGCTCACTAGGTGCCACCACGGTCCCGAAACTTGCTTTTTTCTGGTGCAAGCTCCTCACGGATTTGGAGAGATGAATTTTTACATTCATTAATGAAATTATGACAATTAGTCATCGTAGAGTGAGGGTGAAAGTGACCTCAAGCGGATTTTTTTTTTAATGTGGACTTTCACCTTTGTTGGTTTTTTTTTTCTTCAGAGTACCGAATTTGAATTAAATGGTTCACATTGACTTGGACGTGGTAAAGGAGGACTCGATGAAGGACCCTGTAAATCAACCTGAATTGAAAAAACCGTAGCTGCGGTGACCTGGCTGTCAGGTAAATCAGGTTAAATTTCTCCTGCCAAAACTCTGCACTTAAGGAAATTCCTAACGTCGTTTCCCATTTTTTTTAGTTGTGGGGCTCTGTCTAGGTTTCTATTATACGCCCTCAAGAAGAATTCATAAGCCTTTATAGGGGATAGGCGAGATGAGATGCGATTTGGCGCAGGCGCTGCATCGGTATTCAGATCAGCGGAACTTAGAATAACTTGGTTTCTCCAGTCTTTTGGTATTCCTTTGATGATCTGTAGGTAGTTGATGAAGTGGATGTTTAAATTAAATTTCTCGTTTAATTTCACGAGTGAGAGGAATCGATTTCTCTCTAATAGGTCTCAGAAAAATCTCAGACCTGAGGTGGGGAAAGTCTTTCTTATGCGAGTTGGGAATGAGATTTTTATCTTACTATTGAAGAAAAGGGACTGTTTCTTGAACTCATTCAAATTGCAAGGTGATTTTGTCCCATGTATCTCTGCCCAGGCTCTTAAGATCTCCTGTAAAAAGGGGGAGGGTATGTCTGATATCCACTTTCCTTTTCCAGAAAAATTACATTCCATTAAATATTCAAAATCAGCAGGGTGTATATTCGGCAAGCTAGCGTAGAGTTCTTTCAAGGGCGTTGATGACCTTGACGTGCAGAGTCTATTCATCCACATTACTTTTGCGGGTTTGAAGCGCAGCGATGCAATAGGGATTTTTAACCCGCCGTATTTAGAATCTTGAGTTAGGATTTTCCGCTGAATCCTTTTGAGTCCTTTTATAATTATGAATTGATAAATTTCGTCTTGCAAATCATTGATGAAATTTTTGGGGGGAGAGGGTAGGACAGAGGATAGAAAGTTTACCTTAGCGAGTGCAAAGGTTTTAACTAACATACTTCTACCGTAAACTGAAAGGTCTCTGGTTCTCCACATTCCCAAGGATGTTCGAATTCCGTTTTCTACACCTCTGCCGGTTTGTAGAAGCTCCTACATGTCCTTTCTGTGAAGATAATCGTACTCGGATTCATATGATCTTTGATTGTCCGATGTCTAACGAAATTTGGATTGCCCTTAGAGATTTTCTTATTCAAGAAAGGTTTAATGGACAACAACTGAATCTAACCGGTGAAGATATGCTCTTTGGTCTGAGTGGAAGGAATAGCCACTTGCTTAATATAATTTTACTTCTTGCCAGACATTTCATTTTCGTCTGATATATGGAAAAGAAAAAACCCACATTCAATCAATTACTTCATGCCATTAAGAAACATTTCCGTGTGGGAAAACTCATAGCATATCGAAATGGGAATGCTTTGAACTTTAATAAACTGTGGAATCCATTAAAAAGTTTCCTTGAGAGGCAAGAATGGGTATCCCGTGAATTGTCCTCAGCAATGCGTACTTCCGCATCTAGTCACATTTGAGATTTATCATCACTCTATTACCTTTTTCTCTCTCTCTCTCTCTCTTTCTGTCGCTTCTCCCCTGGATCCTGGTATCTTACCCTCCCGTCCATTTATGTCCTTGGTTTTTTTCTATGTATAATCATCCCCGTTAATTTTTTTTCTCATTTCGTTGAACTGTTTCAGGTTTTTTTTTTTTCTCTTTTTCCCCCTATCGTTCTCTGGCCTTAGCCTTCTATGCTTTTCACTCTCCACCTTTTTTTTCCATTATATTTATCGTTATTCAGTTCTTATTTATGTATTTTCCCCTCCTTTTTTGGGGTTTTCTCGGTGGAATTGGAGATTGAAGAGATGTTCGAATAAAAAAAAAGACATGATATTACTGAGCTAAGGAAGTATTCAGCTTTCATGGTGCATCCCCTCCGGGCATAGCTTTTGGGTGGGTTGGTTTTTCCAAGCAAGATTTTCCACCAGCGAAAAGGGCAAACGTATAAGGTTGAAACTTTGTGGGCATGTGGTTCTCTGAGAATTAATTTCAGTAATAAAAAAATGTACTTTTCGGTTAAAACGCCTGAGGGCACATATTTTGCAAATGGCTTATTTTCTCGATCCAGCAAACCGGAGGGCGCTAGAAAGTTTATAATTGGAAAAGAAGAACCTGATTGATAGCTGAGTAAATGAAAAGTGCTACTTTTATTATATATAGAGGACCGTGAGTAGCTGACTGACACAAGTCGCTATTCGCATCTGAGTTCAGGAAAATTTATACTTTGGTGGTACATGATATAGGGGAACATATTGAATATTTCCAAATAGGTCTCTCTGTTTTAATCAAACGGAGACACATGGAAAGCTGAAACCTGGCAAGATCGTGACTGCTGACGCACTGAGCTCAGGAACAATGTAAAATTTCCAAAATGCTGGAATTTTGGGCGGGGACGTTATGTTTTCAAAGAATTTTTCATTTCCTAGCGAATCGGGCAGAAATAGAAAGTAACAACTGGCGCACACATAACGGACGTGATGTCGATTTAGGGAAAAATTCAAATTTCCCTGTGCGTCTCCTTAGAGCACAGCTTTTGGGTGAGTCGCTTGTCACAATATATATTTTTACCGCCAGTAAAAAGGGGAAACTGGGTGGCATTGAGTTACCTGAGTCTACATTTCAGAAGAAAAAAATATTTCGTTAAAACACATCAGGGCACATTTTTAAAGTCCCATATTCCTGAATTATTTTTTGATCCAACGAAACAGAGACAGAAAATGTAAATTTCCCTCAGAAGTACCTGCTTGATGGCTGAGTACAGGAGAAATCCTACTTATGAAATATGGCCCATTACCGTAGATTATAGAAGGGAATATTGTAAAATGTATTCATCACCCTTACAAAAAAGGACAAATGAAAATATTTAATGTTAGGCACACCAGAAATAAGAGAAGTAAAGATTTTGATGAAAATGAAGACTTTCGTCCCCATATGTCACGTACTAAAATCGGGGCGCACTTTAAATAGTGTTTGCCATTTCGCAAAGAATAAATGAATTAATCAATCTCCAAGGTAATGGAGCGCCGGAGATTATATAAATTACTAGCGAGTTTTGGCCGATCTCCCCAGATGAAGGAGTAGGAGGTTTAGAAAAA